CCTCAGGCCTAAGGGAGCCCTGTTGCTGCTCAGACCCAGTGCCCTGACTCCGCAGTGTGCACACCCTGACACCTGGTCCCACACAGAACTTTCTCAGTAGCAGAAGCAAACCTGGTAGAATGGGCTTGGTAAGCCAGGCATCCAGAGGATGACAATATGGCCCTATGTGAAGTCTGGAACACACAGTGGTACAGGGGACTTCTGTTGAGACAGCAGTCGCCAGCTGTTTTGAGCAGGCTGTCACTTTTAGAACTCAGGCTTTCTTCTGTTTTGTGTCTACTAGGCCTTTGGAGCAGCAGGCCTCAGCAGTGACTACCCCCTGGCTCAGTTCTTTGGCTGGGCCCGAGCCCTGCGCTTTGCTGACGGCCCTGATGAAGTACATCAGCTGACAGTGGCTAAGATGGAACTCAAGAATCACTCCAGGTTCCAGGAGTCAGCAGCGCCCAGAGTGTAGATGCTGTGTTTGGAAATACCTGGTATTTGTGGTTCTTACATCCCGTCCAGCACCTCAGTCTGGGACAGTTACTGTGACCTGAGCCTTCTGGGGTCTCTTCCGGAAGATGTTTCTGCAGAGACTGAGTTACAGCATGTTTTAGGCATGGAGGAAGGAGATTTGTGTACAGGCTTTTTTAAGACAAGTTTCACTATATACCCTTGACTGACTTGGAACTTGCTATGTAGACCATGATGGCCTACAACTCAAATCTGCCTTCCTCTATTTCCCATGGACTGGAATTAAATGCATTTGCAACTATACCCTGTTCTGAGCCAATCTTTTTAAAAGGCTAATTGTCATTTGTATGTGTGTACCTATCAAGGCCAGAAGAGGGAGTTAGAACCCTGGAGCTGGAGTTCTAAGTGTTGGTGAATAGTCCAATGTCGGTCCTGGGGGCCTAACCTGGGCCTTCTGCAAGAGCAGCCAGTGCACTTCACTACTGAGCTGCCTTTATCTCCGGATCTTCCTGCCTCCTCCTCCCAAGTGTTAGCATTACAGGTGTGTGCCAGCATGACCAACTGCGGTAACCCTTTCCGACCACAATCAGGTGAACTAATATCCAATGGGCATTAATATATTATGTTCCACGGGTCAATGTGTCAGAAAGTGGGGTACAGTTGTAAATGACTGAACTGTCACCAAGTGGGCAACTTGAGGGTGTAGCGGCCATCATTCCTTTCTTGGCTAGGTCATGAAGAGCAAGGAAAAGGCAGAAGCAGGCAGAAGGCAAGAAGGAAGCTCCAGTCTACCTGCCCTTCCTCAGTCCTGAAGACAATGGCAGGTGCAGAGGGGCGTGTGTGGGGAGCACTCAGGGGAGACAGGAAGGACACCGTAAGCTCAAGGCTTTTGGTCACACAGATCAGCTGGGCTTAGGAGGTGAGGGCGTGCTTCCGACTTTAAAGATTTGATTTATAATGTATGTCCACAAGTGTGTACTTGAGTATACTCTATACACTATGTGAACAGCACCTGCAGAAGCCAGAGGAGAGCATTAGATTCCTGGTCGTGAAGTAACAACCAGCTGTGAGCTGTTCATCCTGAGTGCTGGGAACCAAACCTGGGACTCTGCAAGAGCAGGAAATGCTCTAACCGCTGAGCACCTCTCTGCTCCCCTTGTTTGCTTCTGAGATGGGTCTTATGTAGACTAGGCTAGCCTCAAGCTTTCTATGTAGCCAAGGATGACCTTGAATTCCGGGTCCTCCAGACTCCAATTCCCTAGAACTGGGATGCACTATGTCTGGTTTAGGCAGTGTGAGGAATTCCACCCAGGGTGTCCTGGTTGGGGCTAGCCTCGCTTCTATGCTAGGTGAGAATTCACCAACAGAACTACATCTCTGGACCTGAGACCTTGTTTCCATCAAAATAACAGATAGACAGGGAATGAGAGTTTAGAGGTAGAACTGTACTTAGCAAGGAGGAAGGAAGAGGGAGAGGGAGAGGGAGAGAGAGGCAAGAAGACAGGGAGGAAGATGGGGAGAGAGGGAGGAAGATGGGGAGAGAGGGAAGAGGAGAGGAAGAGACAGAATGAAACTGGGAAGTAGAGTTAGAAATGGCTGCTGGCACAGACAGAGCAGCTGCACAGGTAGACAGTGGCTTCCTGTTCCCGTCTGCCTGTGTGGAGGCTGTAGTACACACTTCACAGGACACAAACTAACGCTGAGATCCAGTTCTGACTAGGACATGTACCAGAGTCCAGGGAAAACATTCAGACCCTAACTGTTGTAGCACACAATGAGTACATGCGGCAGACACTCCACACCATCTATGAAAATGACTGAAGCACCTTCCAGAATCCAGCTCCTCTGGATTGAAGGCTTGGATGGCCACACACTTGGATATGCCCTCCTTTTTTGTGGAGTGGGATCACTCTGTAGCCCAGGTTGACTTAAACTCCTAACCTTCCAATCTTCAGGCCACATTATAGAATTATAGGTGTGGCCACTCACCTGCATTTTCAATGAAACTAATTTGTGTGGAGGTCAAAGTTCTGTGGAACTGGTGCGGTCTCCCTGCACCGTGTGACTCCTGAGGAATCTACCTCAAGCACTGGGCTTGATAGAAGTGAGTCAGTCATCTTGTCAACTCTAAGCTTCAACAGTTTCTTCTATTTTTTTTTTTTTTTTTTTTAAGATTTATTTATTTTATGAATGTGAGTACACAGTTGCTGTGATCAGACACACCAGAAGAGGGCATCAGATCCCATTACAGATGGTTGTGAGCCACCATGTGGTTGCTGGGATTTGAACTCAGGACCTCTGGAAGTGCAGTCGGTGCTCTTAACCACTGAGCCATCTCTCCAGCCCTGTTTCTTCTATTTTTACTTACTTATCTTTTGGTTTTTCAAGACAAGACTTCTCTGTGTCTTCTATCGGTGGTGGTGCGTGCCTTTAATCTTAGCACTTGATTTGGGAGGCAGATGCAGGAGGATCTCTGTGACTTTGGGGCCAGCCTGATCTACATAGTAAATTCCAGGACAGCCAGGACTGTTACACGGAAAAACCCTGTCTTAAAAGAACAAAACTAAACAAAAGACAAGAGCACACAGTTGTCAGTTTGACTTTACAAAGTATCCTACCATTAGGAATATTAAAAATGGTTTTTAGAGCTGGAAAGATGGCTTGGTAGTGAATAGCACTGGCTGCTCTTTCTGAGGACCCAGGTTTGGTTCAACAACGCATGGCTCACAACTATTTGCAATCCATGTTCCAGACGAATGTCGACCCCTCTTCTGGCCTCCATGGACACTGCACACAAATGGTACACAGACATGCATGCAAGCAAAACACATATACATGTAAAATAAAAACATGTTTGTTTTGTTTTTGAGAGCCCCAGCTGTCCTGGCCCTCACTAAATAGATAGGGCTAGCCTCAGACCCAATGGAGATTCCTCTGCCTTTGCTTGCTGAGTACTGGGTTAAGGAAGTGTTGTCATGCCCCATAAAGTAAATCCTAAAAAAAGTAAAAACACAAAAGCCAAGGTGTTCAACTCTCCTGTAGACCCAGATTCAGAAGTTGACATTAAGGTCGAAAATATACCTCACCCTTGACTGAGAGGAGGTCTTCTGAGGTGCTTCAGAGCCCGGCCACTGGCTCTCTAAATGGTTAGACTTGGTAGTTCCAGGTAGTACAAATAGTGATACCATCACAGGGCCTGTGACAGTAACTTTTGCCTCACAGTCCTGCCTGCTAGCCAGACACTTGGTGAGTGTCCTCTGGAAGCATGAACATTACGTATTCTTTGTTTCAAAGGTGAGGGAACTGGCTGCAGAGAGGTTAGTGATTAGTTACACTACTAGACATTAATAACCAAGAGGGAAAAGGCCACATTTCATAGCTAAGACTGGGACACAGAAGTGAGTGAGGGGACAGTCATTGTTTATAAGTCACTAGGAACAGAAGTACTTTACAACTGTGATTAACAAGCACCATGAAGGAAAAGGCACAGAACTAAGCTGGAAAATGTCTAAGAACGTAATAAGCCCAAATTTGACATTTACATTCATGCCTATAATCCCAAGTCAAGAGACTGAGGTCAAGAATATGTCTTGGGAGTTCAAGGCTAGCCTGGGATAAATAGGAAAATCCAGGGTATCATAAACTACAGATGAGACCTTGTCGGAAATAAAAGAAAGTCTTTAAATATTATATATGGAGATGTGGTAGTATGTATCTTTAAGCCAAATGCTTTGGAGGCAGAGTCGAGCAGATCTCTGTGCCTTTGAGGCCAGCCTGGTAGATGTGGTTAATTCCAATCCAGCCAGAACTACATAGTAAACCACTGCCGTAAAAAAAAGATCATGTGGGATGGTTCAGCAAGTGAAGGCGCCAGCTACTGAGCCTCACAGTCCGACACTCACGTGGTTGAACAAGAAAACCAACTCCTGAAAGTTGTCTTCTGATCTCCACACGTGACCAAACATACATGCTCATACAAAATAAATAAATGACATGTAATTTGTAAAAGTTGTATACGGGGATCAGTGAGATGGCTCAGAGGGAAAAGTCACTTGTCCCAAGCCTAGCAGTGTGAACCCAATCCCTGTAACCTAAATGAAGTAGAGAGCCGATTCCTGCATGCTGTCCTCCCTGACCACACACACATGCTCACACACATAAACGTATATTACCGAACACCTACCACGGCTGTCCACCCTGTATTCCTGAACAAGGAAGCCTGTGTCATGAGTTTCCTTTTCCCGCAAACCTTAGCGGGCTGAGGGAAGACTGCGGGCCGAGCCCAGAGGCCGAGCGGCCCGCGGTCGGCAGCGCCGCCACCGCCTCAGAGCCGCGGCCGCCGCCTCAGCAGCGGCAGCCCCTCTCGCGCAGCCGGCCGAGCCACAACAACCTACACTTCCGCCTCTCGGCCGCCGTCTCTGACCCGCAGGGTCGCGCACGCGCACGCGCCGGCGGGAAGGGGCGAGCCCGCGGCCGCGCATGCGCTTTCGGCAGCCTCTGCTGCACCTTGGCTGACCGTCTGGACGGGACAGTGTCCGAGGAGCGTGCGCAGTCCGTGCAGAGCGTTCTGGCTTATTTTTGACGTTTGACCTCTCCCTCCGTTTGTCACGCCTAGTTTCCCCGCAGGGTTCACCGAGACTCTGAGGGTTCGCAGAGACTCTGAGGGTTCCTGGGTTTTCGACCTCGGGGTTGTAACTTTATGCAGGTATGGCGATGGGCTGGTTAGGAGCGCCACGGCTTCACAGATATTGCACTGACAGCCGAACACTGCGGGGCTGCCTCGGATGATGATTTTGCAGACACAGAAAACAGCCCCAGACAGGACAACCTTCGGTACTCGTGCGATCCTGAGCTACTTGTTGCTTAACCACAGGGTTGTGTGAAATGAAACGCTGTGTAGAGAGACAGGGATACGCTGGAAAGTCATGGTTAAGTTTGGTTTAATTGTTTGGTTGTGTTTGGTTTGGCGGGTTTTTTTTTGTTGTTTTTTGTTTGTTTGTTTGTTTGTTTGTTTGTTTTCCGAGTCAGAGTTTTTCCACGTATACCTGACTGTCCTGGAAAGCTGTAGACCGGGCTGGCCTCGAACTCAGATTTGTCTGCCTCTGCCTCCAGAGTTGTGGGATACAGGCCTGCCCCACCACCATCTGGCCATTGTTTAGCTGTTTTGAGTTGTTTTGAGACAAGGTTTGGTGTAGTCCAAGAGAGCTTGAACTCTATATATTGGAGAAAAGAAAAGCTGTGTTCTCTGTATATTGGAAACAGGTGTCCTTGAACTTCTGACCCTCCTGCCTCTTCCAGTGCTAGGGTTACAGGCTTCTGCTGAAGACTTTGTGCCTCACAAGGTGGCAGGATAGAACTAACTCAAGAATTGTCCTCTTTGCAGGTGCCATGGTGTGCACACACACTGAGGAACGTACTTCAGTGGTAGAATGCTTGGGATATAGGCTCTGCGTTCAGTGTTTAGTACACACACACAAGAGAGAGAAAAGCCAGGTAAAATCAGTGCAAATATGAAGAAAAAACGTGACATGACAAGATCCAATAGTGTAAGAGGTTCAGGAGAGGATGTGTATACAAATTGTACTGTAACGGGAACCCACGATACATAGAGACGCTTGTGCTATTTCCTATGTAATATGTCTCATATCCTTTTTAAAATTTTAATATTTTTTACTTTTTTTTAAAAAAAAGGTTTATTTCATGTATGTGAGTACACTGTACCTCTCTTCAGACACACACCAGAAGAGGGCATCAGATCCCATTACAGATGGTTGTGAGCCACCGTATAGTTGCTGGGAATTGAACTCAGGTTCTCTGTAGAGCAGTCAGTGCTCTTAACCACTGAGCCAGCTCTCCAGCCCCATCTCGTACCCTTTTAATGCCAGGGTTCCCAGCTTCTGCTCACATTTCACGTCCTGATAACTCTTTCGGGGTGCATGCATATGTGTCTGTGAACTATAGACATCAGTAGTATTGTCAGCTGGAAGTGACCACCAAAAAATATGCCCAGATATCACCAAATCTCCCCGTCTGTGGCCCAAGTCATGCCCACCCCCGTGGAGAATAATGGGCTTACATGAAAGCCACCCACACAGTATAGACCATCTGACCGTGTGTCAGACATTAGTTTATGGCGCTGAGGTTGACCTAGGGCCTTCAGCATGCTAAGCACATGCCATCTGCTGAGGCACACAACCAACTCAAGCGTTAGATAACCTTAAATGGTGTATCACACACTAATTTGATAGCTTGACATTCTTTACCTTAGGCAATGGTTACCCTCATCCCCCTTGCAATAGGTACTGTAATTGTCCCTATTTTACAGAGGAGGAACCTGAGGCTCAGAAGGTAATGTACCCAGGACCTCACTCTCAGTGGTTAGAAGATTCAGATTTGGGAACCAGTCAGTCCAGACCACTGAGGTCTTTTCTACACCATCTCTGTAATATAAAACTGTACACCTGTGGACGTTGATGGAATGTGATCGAGGCATTAGTCTAACCTCATTCTGATTGACAAGCTCTGTGGCATAGAAGATGCCAGTTCCAGGAAACTAGCATTGTTAACCAGGAATGGACAAGCTGTCACAGCTCTTCATGGCTGTCAGCCATTCAAGTGTGTCCCTAGCTCATCCCTCCCTACATCTCTCTCTCCCTTTTCTTGCTGGCTAGCTTGGGCTAACCTGGCATTCAAAGCTGCCCCACCTCTGCCTCTCTTGTGCTAGGGATACAGTCATGGTTAGTCACCACTCTGTGCTATTTTCTCATCTATCTGCTTTACTCTTCCTTCAGGTTCTTTAGCCTGAGGAGCTGTCTGACTCTAGCACCAAGCCCCAGGGGATGGCTGTCTAAGACAACTCAGTCCTTGCCCTAAGGAGCTGACTATAGGGGCAGATAGGAGAGCAGTTAATGTGTGGAGGTTAAAGACTCCACTACAGAGATGGAAAAGGGACATTGGGGTGGAAGTCCATCACAAAAGTGCCACACTCAACTTGTGGGAAGAAATAAAATGTATGGAGAAGAAGGCCAGGCTGAGGTGTAAAACTGAGTGGACATTCACCAGCCAGATGAAGCAGGCTCTGGTCTGCCGGCACGGCAGGTGCCAAGGCCTGGAGAGAAGGGAGACAGAGGGCTTGCCAAGTGTGCACAAAGGCCAGTGTCTGACTCTCCAGGCATACACAACCCACAAGTGCTAGCATAAGCCTGTAATCTCTGGCTCCACGTCAGTTTGTTGTCTCTCATAGACTTTGGCCTCCCATAGAAAGAAGTAAAATTGAAAGAGGTTATCAGCCTTGAAGTTTGAGGGATTTGTGAGGTTTTCTTGTTTTGTTTGTTTTTTTAAAGCTTAATCATTTTTTTATTTTATTTTTGGTTTTTTGAGACAGGGTTTCTCTGTATAGCCCTGGCTGTCCTGGAACTCACTCTGTAGACCAGGCTGGCCTCGAACTCAGAAATCCGCCTGCCTCTGCCTCCCAAGTGCTGGGATTAAAGGCGTGCGCCACCACAGCCCGGCCTCATTTTTTTTTTTTATTCCTGTTTTTTCATTTTTTATTTATTTTATGTATTCACCATTGCTCTCTTCAGACACACCAGAAGAGGGCATCAGATCCCATTACAGATGGTTGTGAGCCACCATGCGGTTGCTAGGAGTTGAACTCAGGACCTCTGGAAGAACAGTCAGTGCTCTTAACCTCTGAGCCATCTCTCCAGCCCTTGTTATGTTTTTATCTACCAAATTCAGCCAAATTTTGATGTCTAAGTATATCGTGCCATTTTCAAGATTTACCATTTAATCTTTTGTTAGCTGGGTATAGCAGTCCATTTGTACCTGCCATACCAGCTAACTAGGGAGACTACGGCAGGAGGATTGCCTGGACCCAAACACTTGAGACCAGCTTGGACAGCAGAGCAAGACCCATCTCAATAAAAGAGAAAAAGAGAAGAAAGATTCCTTTGTTTAGGTCTTGGTTTTGTTTGCTTGTGAGTTTTTGTGTCTATTTAGGGTTTGTTTGTGTGTGTGAGATAGGGTCTCCTTATGTAGCCCTGGCTGCTCTGGAGACACAGAGATTCCCCTGCCTCTGTCTCCCCAGTGCTGAGGTTATAGGTGTGGACCTGCAAGCCCCAATAAAAGCCTAATTTCTCATACTTGAGTAAAAGGGCCTCCAAAGTCAGGAAACCAGGCCTCTTTACATTCTAGTGATGTGGTCCAGAGACAGTTTCCCTAAGGGCTTTGGACCCAGTCAGTGGAGTGATCCCATGACAGATTTGTAATGAGATATCTTTGTTGGGAGCTGGTGAATCCTGGGAGATTGGGCCCAGCTAGAGGAAGCAAGTCACTGGTGTGTGTCCTGGTGTCTTGCCCTGGCCATATCCTATGTTTCCTCTCTCTGCTTCCTGCTTGGCCATGAAGTACAAACATCTTTTCTGTTGTGATGTTCTGGCCAAGTGCATGGAGCTGCGTGCACAGCTAGGAATTAAGCTTTCTGAAACTGTGCCCAGAAACAAATCCTTCCCTTGTGCTGTGCCGTCAGGGAGCAGGTCACAGCAATGAGAAAAGTTATTAACACACAGGTTCTTTAAGTTGCCCAGGCTAGCCCAGAACTTAGCAATCTTGCCTTAGTATCTACTGTAGTTGGACTACTACATGCTGTTTCCAATGAAGGTTTGAAATGGGATTAATCGAGCTGGTGGAGGACTTTAATCCTAGCCCTTGGGAGGTAGAGGCAGGGTGGTCTCTGAGTTCAAGGCCAGCCTTGTCTATAGAGCAATTCTAAGACAGCTGAGGCTACATGAATAAAATATGTTTAAAAAAAAACATAGTATAATATGGATTTAGGATGTGGTCACATCTGCCGCTTTAAAGGATTCCTCGGGATGATGAGGGAAGAAGGTAGAGAGAAGAGGAGGAAAACCTCAGGGTGTCTGAAGAGAAGTCTGCACTGAGAGAAGGCGGCAGGAGATGGAGTTCTCAGGAGGAAGCACAGGCAGGGCTCAGGCAGCTGATTTGGGATTGAGGAAATTCAGGGCTCAAACCCCTTTTCCATGGTTATAACAGTGGAGGGGCAAAGGCCCCTGGGTGAACAGTCATTGATGCCAGCTGTGGGTGGGCCTTGAGCATTCCTGGGGCATCAGCTGAGAGCTGTGTGTGGCACCAAGCTCAGGGATACCCTAACCCTAACCCTGACGCTGACCCTAACCCTAACTTAACCCTAACCCTGGACAGAAGCTGTGTCTCAAGCCTCTCTGAACCTTCTTCCCACACAGCCTCCATCTCACCATGTGTGTAAGGAAGCTTTTCCAGCCTTCCTCTCTCTACTGGGCATGGAGGACCACTACCCTGAAACATCCCCTGGAAAGGCATCAGGAAGTCCTCCGCTGGACACATTCTAAAGGCCGAAGCTACAGAGCAGTCATTTTTGACATGGGTGGAGTTCTTATGCCTTCTTCAGGGACAGTGGCTTCGGGTAAGCTCCCCACTCTGTGTATCTTTTAGGGACTGAGGGGAGTGGGAAAGTAGAGACAGACAGGCCCTAGGGTCAGATTCTACTTCCCACTTAGTGCAGTGTGTGAGCCCAATTATTCAGCTGCTCTGAGTCACGGCTGCTTGTCAGCAAATCAGGTCTAAGAATGGACCCTCCTTCCTGAGAATCTGAGGGAGAGTTAAAGGAAATGACCTACGGAGAATACGGTAGATCAATCAGTAGCATGCACAGAGCCCTGGGTTCAGTCTCTAGCACCTCATAAGCCAGGAGTGGCATTTGATAGGTTGAAGCAGGAGGATCAGGTATTCAGGGTCATCCTCAGCTAACCAGCAAGTTCAAGGATAGCCTGAGCTAGAAGAAAGGTTGTTCATAAATAAATAGTAACACAAGGAACTTTACCTTCTGCCTGAGTATCATGGTGTGTTAGGTTCTGCTGTACAGGGAACCAAAGCCTTCGAAACTGAGTCTAAGTAAATCTTCCCTCCCTTAATAGTGACTAAACAAGTAATAGCCAGAGAAAAAGGATAAAAACAAAGTCCCCAACCATGGCAAACCTGAAGCTGTCCCAGCAGACCCTATCACTCCCCACAGCCAGCCTCAAGCCTGTGTTACCTTCTGGAGTTTTTGTCATAGATGATATGACTTCCCTGTGAGCTCACAGCTTAAGTCAAGGATGGGCTAGCATTTCCAAGAAGAGGCAAAGGGTCAGGATCTTAGGCACTGACAGCCATAAAGTCTGTGCTGAAAGCGCCCGAATGTTGCCCCTACAGTGTCAGAGCAGCCCGGGATGGCGGTAAATGAAGGCCTAGGATGCAGTCTCCCAGGGGCCAATGGGATTTCATGTGTCACAAGATACTGTTTTGTTGGGTTAGTTTTCAACTTCCTCAGAAGGTAAAGCCATTCTGACTCACAGGCCATATAAAAAGTGACAGTGGCTAGCTTTGGTACAGGCTGGCCAACTAGGCCCAGGAAGTACAGTATTTGGGCTGGAATGTAGCTCAGTGGCATAGGCTTGTCTAGTACCCACAAGGCCCTTGGTCTATTCTCAGCACTGAAAGAGGACATTGGGGGAGGGGGAGGAGACTGGGAGGACCCAAAGGTCACACAGCATCCTCCCAGCTGTGTACCACATACCTGGGTTCCAGTGCAAGGAAAGAAGCTTCTTTGTTGCCGTCCTGTCCTCACCCCTACCCATTGATAAACACCATCACCAAGGGCAGCTTGAGAGGAAATGTAGACTCTAGCCAGAGTCTGGAGGGAACTCAGGGCAGAAGTTCAAGGCAGGAACCTGGGGGCAGGAACAAAAGCAGAGGCCATGGAGAACTGTTGCTTGTTGGCTTGCTCCCTCCCCATGGCTTGCCCACCCTGCTTACTTGCTTTTTCTTTCTTCCTTCCTTCCTTCCTTTCTTTTTCTTTTTTAAAGATTTATTCATTTTTATTTATATGAGTACATTATAGCTGTCTTCAGTCACACACCAGAAGAGGACATCAGATCCCATTACAGATGATTGGGAGCCACCATGTGGTTGCTGGGAATTGAACTCAGGACTTCTGGAAGAGCAGTCAGTGCTCTTAACCACTGAGCCATCTCTCCAGCTCCAGCTGTTTTGTTTTTAAGACCTATTTTTAATTGTGTGCATATGTGGACAGGTGTGTACACTGGTAGGTTCCATACATTTGAGGGGCAGGCATCAAACTCTCCCTGAGCCTGGGTTATAGGCAGCTGCCTGGCACAGGTGCTGAGAACCTACCTCAGGTCCTCTGTAAGAGCAGCAAGCACCCTTAGTCACTGGGCCACCTCTGTAGCTCTTTATTGTTTTTGAGACAGGGTCTCACTCTGTAGTCCTATGACAATATTGGACCTTGCTTGTGGCCCAGGCTGGCCTTAAACTCCAATGATCTTCCCACTTCTGCCTTAGAGTGCTGGGATTACAGGCCTGTGCTGCCACGCCCAGTCTAGGTGTATTGTTAGGACAGATGGTCATTAAGTATTTCTTTGATGATTTGATTTGCAGTGATAACTTAGACATAATCACCTAGACATAATTATAAGACATTTAATTTGTTTCTTATGTGAATACTTTGTTTCTGAGGGTTTTGCTGGTGCTGGTGGTCTCTGGGTTTTTTTTTTTTTCTCATCATCATCTGTCTTATGACCCAAAAAAGTAAGACACTGGACATCTTTCTAGTCATCTAATTCCCAGGACACAGGGTGTTCAGACTTGTAGTCAGGTGCCACATGTCACCGTGCAAGCAAATCAGTGAACTTGCTGTCCTGTCATCTTTATCTGCTTCATACTACAGTGAGATCGTTCTTCTGATGCCTGGGTGTGTCTATGTGTGTCTGTACACCCGTGTCTGGGCGTCTCTGTGAGCGTGAACCAGGCATCACCCCAGGGCCTGGCACATGCTAGGCAAGTGCTGTGGCACTGAGCTCTACTCCTAGCCCCTTTGAAAATGCTTTTGATCAAATGACCAGTTGAGGATGGCTCCACTGGGCATCCCCACCATGAAGGAGTACTTCAGGATGTACTGTCTTCACATGGGCATCCCGCCCATAGACAACTGGAACTTCTACATGGCTTTCTCCTTCTTCCGAGTGGCTGCAATCCTACAGGGAGTCTACAAGCGGTCACTCACCGGTAAGCTTTGGCCTCATGGACACAGAGGCTTTGAGGAGATGGTTTGGCCAGATGCTGTAAGGCTCAAATTATTTTCCCATCATCATGAAAGTGTGTGTGTGTAGAGCCAGCAGTGGTGACACAAAGTTGGAAAGTGGGGGTTCAAGGACTGAGTTCAAGAGCATCCTCATCTGTTTCTGGGAAGCTCCAGGAAGCTGTGGCAGGGGTGGGGTACAGAGAGAGGAAAATGCCAGCATGCTTATGACATTGGCATTACTACCCAGAGAAAATGGTGACAAGAAACTGGGCCTGTCATTTTCTCCCCAGGGCTGACCATGTAGAATCTTACTCTTTCCTGGTACTGCAGTAGTGATTTGGAGTGTCACTAATTAAATCAGCCTCTTCTTGTACTGTTTGGTTTTACTTGGTTGATTGGATTTTCTAGAAAGGGTTTCTCTGTGTAGTACTGACTTTCCTAGAACTTGCTCTGTCCCAGCCTGGCCTCAAACTCAGAGATCTGCTTGCCACTGCCTCCTAAATGCTAGGATTAATGGTGTGCACCATCTGAAATTAGTTTCTTGAGGAAAACAAAGGCCAAGCAGCAGTGGACATCCAACCTCCAGTTTCTGGTTCCCAGGCCACTGACATACCACCCTGTCCAGACTCAGTTTCCCTGTCCACCAAGTTCAGATTCAGATCTTAGTGTGCTGCCTGGGAGTTCAGGGCCCTGGCCCTGGTATGAACCTGTGTTCAGGCAGTGGCAGTGTCTGCCCTGGGAGTGTCAGCCATGTCACTGACTCATACATCATCAGGGTGGTGATGGGTAATCAGTTCTCCCTCCATTTTCCACAGGACAGGCAAGCTCGGCAACAGCCGAACAAAGTGGAAAGCTCACCAAGTCCATGGCTGAGCTGGCCTGGGATTTTGCCATCAAAGAAGGGTTCCGGGTTTTCAAAGAGATGCCAGCCACCCAAACACTGACGAGATCCTACCATGCATGGGCTGGGCCGAGGTCCCTGAGGACTCCCACGGGTGTGAGGAGTCACAGCACTATAGCAGCTGCTTCCCCTTCTGAGGAGGCAAAGGGAGGCCTGATCATCTCTCCAGAGGGCCTGCCTCCCCGGGTCAGAAAGTTGTATGACCAGCTGTTGCAGTTTATAGAACAGAAGGTGTACCCCCTGGAGCCAGAGCTGCAGAGACACCAGGTCTCAGCCGACAGGTGGAGCCCTTCCCCTCTGATAGAAGACCTCAAGGTAAGCTAGCCTGTCCTGTCATTGTGGCAGACCCTAGCCATTGAGGCCAGAGGCAAGGAGGCTGAGTGGAATCCTCTTGGTTTCCTGTCACTAGAGAGAGGCAGCTGCTTGTTCATCCTGTCACGGTGTGTGTGTGTGTGTGTGTGTGTGTGTGTGTGTGTGTGGCTGGGATGAGAAAAGAGTGGTAAGCTGAGCTTAGTTCTTCTCCTGTTACCCACATACTTAGGAGGTAGAGGCAGGAGGATAAAATATTCAGGCCAACCTCAACTACTTGAGACCCCATCTTAAAATTGAGTAATATGACCTGTGGCTCGGAGAGACTCATCGGGTCAGATGGGCATCTGTCACGCAGATTTGAGAAACAAGCCACATGAGGGGAATTCTGTAGCCAAAATGTCTTCCTAGCGATCGTATCAGAAGCCGAGAGCTGCGTGTTTATAAAGTGTCCTCTCATCCTGCTGATAAGTTCTCTCACTGTTCTCAAAAAAACTTCAGTCTGTGGTGCCTGTGGTCAGTCAGGACAGCACAGTGAGGGAGCCTGGGGAAAGCAGCTCATCTCAGGGTGACAGTCAGAGGCAGAAGCGGACACAGGAAGCTATACCAGAGGCCTTCCTTTCTTCACCTTTTATTCCATATGGTCCTCCAGCCTAGGGGATGGTGCCACCCACATCAGTAGGAAGGTTTGTTACTTAGTTACTAACCTCTGGAAAGGAGGCTTGCTCAGGGCCTGTCCTCAGAGGTCTCAGGAGCCCCCCAGGAGCTATCTGTGTCCCAATAGGATCCCTGTCAGTCACAGCACTAGTGTTAATCCTGATGAGTGAGGCATGGGGGCTGGGATACAGAGACCTGAAATGAGCTCACCTGGGCCTTGCTAGTTCTCTCTGGCTTATGCCACCCACACCTGCAGGTTTGTGTCCAGCCAGTGGGTCTGCCTTGGCACTGCTTTGTATACATGATGTGTCTCTGACTGTACCTTGTTCTCTTTTTGTTTGCCACTGGTCAAGATAAGACTTGATCTTGGCTGGAGACATGACTCAAGGTTAAGAGAATGTTCTGCTATTATAGAGAACCCAAGTTCAGATCCCAGCACCGACATCAAGAGACTTACCACTGCCTATAACTCTAGGTCCAGACATTCCAATACCACACCTCTCGCCTCCATGGGCCCTTTGTTCACATTCTTCCACATATACATACTTGGGTTTTTTTCTTTGTTTGCTTCTTTTTTTTTTTTTTTTTT